GGCTTCCATTGTCAAAAGCTCTCTGCATGACTCGCCGCACTGGACAGGAACTCCAAATATATGAGTCATGCCGTGCACCCGGAAACTTAGCATTCTCGTTCAATATTTTTAAATTTGGGTCACATATCTGTAACAATATAACAAATGTTTGTTAGACTTTTATTTAAAATACTTAGCTTACCATTTGCACATTAATCGAGTGGTATCCGTGATGGTTCACGTATGCTTCCTCATGACTTTTAGGAGCCAAAATGGAAACATGCGTACAGTCAACCGCCCCAATAGTTCCTCCAACGAAAGGCGCAGGTGCTAAAGAAAACACTTCCTTGGCAGCTTGGCGGTCCACCTGCGTCATAGGGAACTTAACCTCCTCAAAAAAAACAGTCTGCTATTTATGGCATCAGTAACTCGATGTAGGCAACGGCTTATAGAGGATTGGCTCATTGATATGCCCCACTGTACCCCTACAGGCCGTTGGTAGCATCCCGTGGCATAAAATCTTAAGGTACACAAAACCTTCAAAGATAAATTTTTAGTTATTTGTACAATGATTTTGTGGTGTGGAGCAGAGGGGGAGGGGGTGTGGCACCTAAAACCATACCCATTAGAAAGAACGTAGTCAAAACTTTAAGAGAAGTCATGCTTTCCCTCTCTGACCCCTCTAGGGACTCCCGGGGGGCCCATTTGAAAATGGATTTACCCCATTAGCATTTCGACATAGAACCCACACCGAAATTTACCAAAGAGTGCATATTTCAAACCGAATTTATTAATAAAATAGAGCTTGTATATTTGAAATCTTTTTTTTTAAATTAAAGTTTAATCCTTGGAGTACACGCGCATGTTAAACTCTTTAGATTCGAGTGACGCGTTTGGCATTACAACCCAAAATCATTGTACAAATAACTAAACCCTACGCGAGAAGTTATTGTATGTACACACATATGTACTACATATGTAAAATTGCATACTTTCATTATTTAAAGATTTACCTGATTTTCCGCCGATATAGAGGTAATCCTTTTACCTTTCAAGGCGTCTTCCAGCCGTTCGACGAGCTCCATTACGGTATCTGGGCCCACACGATATAGTTTCCGGAACTCGGAAGGCGCCAGCTCAAATGGATCGTCAATGTCCCGGAGCAAACGCCGATCCACTCATCCCTAACTACACTGAACAGCTGACTTTTTCCATTTATTCAAATTGATAAAAAGTGGCATCTCCGCTGTTCGAAATGTCAAAATGTGCGAAAAGCACAAAGAGGAACAGAAAAAAAAACAATCCCATTTCTTCGCGCCACTAATTTGCGTCCACATATTGCAGCAAAGGTAACTATATTTTGCTATTTATTTAATTAATATGTATAAGAACTTACTTTCTTCTTATTTATAATTTCAGAATGGCGTCTACCAGTGGAGCAGCAGCTAAAAGGAGTCGAGCATCAGCGGAGCAGCTCAACGCTATGATCGACCTTCTGACGGAGAACGAAGGGCTTGCGTCCGGAAAGTTCCAGAGTCTCCACGGAAAGCTGGAGTACCAGAAGAAGTGGGCAGAAATGGCGCAAAAGCTCAACGCAATGGGAGGAGCTGTGAAGTCAGTGGAACAATGGCATACCGTAAGTACTTATCTTGTGTTTTAAGTGTGTGTACATAGGAAGCTGATTTCGAAAGTGCGATAAAAAAAAAACTATTAGTATGTATGTACATACGTGAAGTGCACTTGGGTTGAAGGGAGGAGGGGGG